ATTTGAAAAAGTAACTCCGATATTCTCTTGTAAATTAAAAAGTAATGCGTTACTTTACTAGTTACTTGAAAAAGTAATCTGATTACGTAACTTGCGTTACTTGTAATGCGTTGCCCCCAACGCTGGTTATCAGTATGTGTAACACGTTTCTTTTAATGCTATAAATGCAGTGAGTGGTGAGTTCATAAGTCTATTAAACTGCATACTCCATTCTGAAGATGTGAGTCAATAAGTAAGGCGGTCAATATAAAATACCCTGTGTGAACCATAGACTGTTGCGATCATATATATATATAGGGGAGTTCCCCTTGTGCGACGTTTCCGTGTTCACGAAGTGCTCAACATTTCCTTGAAGAACCCACCTGTTTACCCGTTCAGTCATGATCGCTGGATAAGATAGCTGACATTCATGCCCGAAAGGACTTCATTCATGAGCGGAAACGGGACCGTACACGCATCTCCAGACGCATCTTCTAGGAGCATTTGAAGCGCGTCTCGCCGGATAGGGTCTGTAGTCTGTGGGGAAGACTCTTGAGGAACTGCGTCTGGCTAAACGCGTGGCTGCTGGTTACTCTGAAAACATCAGGTTTAGCAGGTGCATGGTGTGAACTTCTCGGGAGTGTCATTCTCTTAAGAGCAGCAGGTAAATCTTTGGACCTTAGTTTCGATTTTAAGCAATTATTACAAATGAAAGAATTGGCATTTGTATTCCGAGTTGTTTGTTAAAGCTTGATTTCTTTGCGTTGTAATATTTATGATGTTTATATGAAAGGTACTGTATAGCTAAAATATAGGGGAGATTGGGACATTTTGTAACACATTGTTTTTTACACTGTCTCAAACTTGAATACAATACTCCCGTATGTGTCTAATACACATTAAAATAGTTTATAAACATAACAGGCATAAAAACACATAGAGGTTTTACATTTTGTGCATCAATTTATTGTTTTGATCTTATTAAACAATGAAGTTCACAGTCATGTTAGCATCTTCCCAAAAGCATTTGACAGATGCTTCTCTCCAAAGCAACATACACTGCATTCAAAGGTCAGTTCAGTTCATGCATTCCCTTAGAAGTGAACCCTGTTGCTCTACGCTTAATTTAACATTTAACGTAGTAAACGTATAGGAAATAATTTAATTTATAACAGCAAATAAAATAGGAACTGAAAATATATAAACACAGGCTAATACTGTATAATAATCTATAATGTTTTTAGAATTATTAGTAGACACTGTAGGGTTTGTTTCATGCAGAAATAAATCGTATTATAACAAATCAATTCATAAACCAGACCTGAAATTTACTATTGTGCGTTTTTTTCTCTCTCCCTTTTTTGTCATGTAAATCTCATATCATTGTACAAAGAGTCTTACAACCTCTACTGTCACCTCAAGAGGATGATGGTCATGTTTGATAGTGGTTTCACACCGTAGCTTATTTCTTGGTTACACTATTGGTGTCAAAACACTCCCTGATTTGGAAGTTATTGGTGCCATTGATTTGATGTAATTACAGTATAGTTTTCATGTATTTCATATATTGCAGAACATTTCTATTTATAGATTGCCTAAAGCAATATCAAATTATGTCCATTGTATTTTTCATCCCAGTACCACTATGAGTCAATGGAAACAAATCCAGCAACTGGATATTAAGTTCCTTGAACAGGTGGACTATTTTTATGATGACAACTTTCCAATGGAGCTGAGACAGGTGCTGGCCAACTGGATTGAAAGCCAGGACTGGTATGTTGCTGTTTTAAAATACTGCTCAGAATTTGTATTTTCAATGTTTATTAAATCCCAATTTGAATTTCCGGCCTGAGAAAAACACAAAACAACCACCTTAAAATATTCTGTAGTTCATAATATGAATTATTCATTTGTAACATAACTCTAATGCATAAGGGAATGCATCTTTCTGAAGCATTTTTGTCTTAATCACCTCAGGGAAACAGCTTCAAACCATGAATCTATGGCTACTGTACTCTTCAATAACTTCCTCATTCAACTGGAGAGGCAGTGTTCTCAGGAGCAGAACTTTCTTCACAGACACAACCTAAAGAGAATATTTCATCAGATACAGGTAACAGATGCATACTGCCCTCCTGTTACTTCCACACATCTGCTGCATGAGTGTCATATCCACATTGTAAAAAATTATGTTTCACGTCTGTAAAAAAACAACAACAAAGATTACTGGAGTACATTTTACAAGAAAATACTATTTCTGTCTTTATACTTCAATATTTCATGTTTAGTTCAATGTGTTACTTGCCATAATTAATCGTGAAATTTCCTAGCAATTTCTGAGTGAAAATTGTTTCAACACCAAATGTTTTCAGTGTATTTATGAAAAATAATTTCTTGCACACTGAAAGAATGTTGCCTATCAAAAGCATAGTTTCATTAGTGATCCTTCCATGCCTATTTTTACACACTCTCTGAAACGAGAAGTGAGAGGAAAGTGAACGACTTGTGAACAAACCTGTGACTAGTCATCACTTATCAGGAAATTATCTAATGGTCAGTATTGAGATTTACAGTAATAGTCAACAAGCTAATTACATAGAATCTTTGTTGTGATTCATAACTCTATTACAACAATGTCAATTATTTTAAGTGTGTATTCGGTTGTCAACGGAAGCTTGTGTACTCACGTGTGGTTTTTGCTAACTTATCAATGACTTCAGTGGAAACAGTCCTAACCTATATTTAGCACCTTAAGTCACTTACCTCACATAGAGTTTACCACATTTAATAAGGAAGAATATTTTCCAGCAGTCTATAAGCAATGGCTACATGTACTACTACTGTAACATACCATTTTGATGTGTTAGCTGTAGTTACAGTAGAGTGTGCATTCCTACAGTTTCGAAAATGTTTCTATAGTAAGTAGACTACAAGAAAATAAAAGTCCAGGATGTCGAAGAACCTAAATTCACTGACAAAAGCTGACTGGCAATACTCTCGATGTTGTTTCAGATTGCTGAACACACTTCTTTCATTTATGCAGTATTTTCATGAGTGGGTGCTGTGGGGATTTCTCACTAGATAAATGTGAAAAAAAAAACTTCCACAGAAGAATCAAATGTCGGGGGTTTTGCTTGTTTAAAAAAATTACATCTGCCTGTAGCTGGTGTTGTATGCCACCCCAAAAAAACAACATGACAGATCACAGCGTGGGGGAGACCATTTTTTATTTTTCACATAGACTGTATTTAGGACAGCTGCAAAAAAAATATTTTTTAAATAGTTTGTTTTGTTTTGAAAAACCTCTGAAAATATCAGTCAATATTGCATTTAAAAAAAACGCCTAGACGAAACGCCCACAATATTGTTTTGTCTAACATTAAAGTTCAAATGAACTTGAAATGAATTTTCTGTAACTTCTAACAAATGTCATAAACTCCTGAAGGAATATCAAAACCTCGATCGGTGTGCACTTCAAGGAAAAATTCACTCAAAAATGAAAGTGCACTCTCCTAAAGCCATATGCATGATTATATGCTTTCTTATCATACTTGTATGATCATTATATGCTTTCAAACATGAGGCATTTAGACGTGTTGCATCAGGTTGGACATTAATTATAACATAAAACGTCATTGTTTTTGCATCTCGTGACTAAATGTCATTGACATCAAACCTGCTCAATTTTAATGTTCGGATGAACTACTCCTTTATGGAAACAACACAGATCTCCAAAATTCATGCGTGAGATTTTAACCATCAACTGTTTCATTTACATCAATGGTTATTTGTTTGAACTTTCACTTTCCAAGGTTACTTCACTCCTTGTAATGCCACATTCATCGTGAAGCATGATTCCTGTAAATGGTGATGAGTTTTTACTTGTCAGGCAAATTTCAAGGTACTTTCACTGTGTATATATATACATGTATGTGTATATATATATTTCAATCATGACAACTCTCGGAACATTTTAGCATGGTGATGGATATGACAATGTTATTGTATTTGGTCTTGGCGGAACAGATCTGCTACGCTGCTGCTGAATTGCTGCTGCTGTTGGTTATTGCGGTAGTTGTAGATTATTGCTGCTGCTGCAAGAAGATAAAACATTCACATTTGCAAATGATGCTGTAGTTCTTATTTTCAAAGTTCTAAGTTCAAATTTCAAAGATCTTACATTTTCAAAATTCTGTTGATTGCAAACCTCTGCAGTAAACCTCAATGGATTCAATTCCATTCCTTTTTTTTACTTGGAGTTAGATTCCTCTGCTTTTCACACATATGGCAAAAAACCTTCAAGCTGAACAGATATTCATTTATTTTCACCAGTGTACTTTGAGGTGTGACTAGAAATTCCCAGTCTCACATCAGTCAGTAAATGCTGTTGCGTAACTCTTTCAGGTAAAATACAAGGCGAATCCTCTGCACATGGCCGCTGTCATCTGTAACTGCCTGAGGGAAGAAAGACGCATCTTATCCACAGCCAGCATGCAGGAACAGGTACTGCCAAGACACTTGTGACAAACAGCATGCAAAAACCACATATACCCCGTGCAACTATGTTGTTAACCAAGCTTCAGAGTTTTGCAATGTACTCACATGATATTACAGTATACCAGTGTGGGATCCAAAAGGTGCTTCAGTCTGACCTAGTTAACATGGCCAATATTACAAATGCACTTATTCAATTTGTGACCTAGTACAATACATATTTGATTCATTTCATGTTGTCGTGTTTAGGATGTATACATTTAGATCTTCTGTTTTCCATGTTTCCATTTCATTAATGGCAGGGGCCACTGGAGAAATCAATGCAAAACTCAGCCGCCTTGGAGAAGCAGAAAGTTCTTGACAACAAAGTGGCAATCATAAGAAGCAGCGTTCAGGTAATTTACCTCCAGTATTGCTTTCCGTTATCACAGCTTTGGGGGTTTAGATATATGAAAGAGTCCAGTGTGTGATGTGTGTCATTATTTCTACATGCTTTTTTCAGATGCTGGACCAAGATGTGAAGTATCTTGAGGACATGCAGGACGATTTTGACTTTCGCTACAAAACACTCCAACTTCGAGGTGAGCCATTGTATGACTTTTGACATCTTCCAAAAATGCCACCCTCCTATCGTTTTATTACATAATAAAGCAAATAATATAATATGGGTAAATATATATATCCTGTAGATCCAGTTGAGAGAAATTCTTTATCCATGAAGCAAGAAGTCACTACACTTCAGGAAATACTGAACCGCCTGGATTTCAAAAGAAAGGCAAGTGTATCTCTACTCTGACAGTACTCTTTTTTTAAAAATGGTTTTACTTCACAACCATTTCCTTTCTTCTTGTTTGTTAAAGGTTTTGTTTACTTAGATTGTATTATACTTTTGAACTACCCTGGGAACTTCCTGCCTCAGACGAGTGACTTTGAGTGGTTTTCACACATCTTTGGTACATTTCGCTCAGGTGTGTGATGCCACTATATATGTTGTTGTTGGCTGGTCATTGTTAACCACTATGTTTGCACTTGGTTTTACCTTTGCAGGAGATTTTGTCAAAGATTGCAGATGTTATAAAGGAAATTGATGCCTTGATTTCCTCCCAGCTCAACCCTGAGCTTAAGGAATGGAAACGGAGGCAACAGATCGCATGCATCGGAGGACCAGTTCTGATAGGACTGGACCAGCTTCAGAACTGGTATAACCCTTTATAACATAAAGAAATAGAATAAAAATATATATACAATTTAAGTGATGCTGTTTAATATAGATTATTGTTTTAAATGTTGTCATACTAATAAGACTGTAACAATGCTCACAGCAAAGACAAGGAGGAAAAAATATGTGATGTACACTAGTGTTCAAAAAGTGTGGGGCCAGTTAGATTTTTTTTTTAAAGAAATTAATACTTTATTCAGCAATGATGCATTAAATAGTTCAAAAGTGACGGTAAAAACTCCATTAGAGATTCATCAAAGAATCCTAACAAATGTCCGCAAAAATAGCTTTCAACATTGATAATAAGAAATGTTTCTTGAGCACCGAATATTAGAATGATTTCTGAAAGATCATGTGACACTGAAGACTGGAGTAATGACTGCTGAAAATTCAGCTTTGCCATTGCAGGAACAATTTCAAAATATATTAACAGAAAACGGTTATTTTAAATTGTAATATTTTTTTACAATATTACTATTTTATATTACTGTATTTTTGATCAAATAAATGCAGACTTGTGAGCATAAAATACTTCCTTCAAAAACATTTAAAAAATCTTACCGACCCCAAACTTTTGAAGGGTGTAGGTCTTTCTAGGTGGTTGCTAATGCTTTCTGAATGGTTGCTAGGCAGTTGCTAGGATCTTCTGTCTGGTTTTGAGGGTGCAAGGGTGTTGTTATGGTGTGTTTGTGGTTACTAAGAGATTGGCCTTGTTAAAATTTGAATCAAGCCTAATTTTCATGTGAAATCACTTTTACAGGTTTACCCTGACAGCCCAGAGTCTTTTCCAGATGAAAAGACAGCTAGACAAACTGGGTGAGCTGATCCTGAAAGTCACTTACGAGGGTGATCCAATCCCTCTCCAGAGACCTCAGATGGAGGAGCAAGTCAAATACCTCATCTATCACCTCATTAAAAGGTAACATTTAGGGATTTCATGTGATTTATGAACAATTAAGGCACAACAGTTCACTTTGTGTGGCTTATAGTGCCGTAAATACAGTACATGAAACTCAAAGAATGCAACACAATAGAAAGGCTGTGCTTGGTGACCAGGAAACCTGGATTATCTGTCTTGGTCATGTTTGCAGCTCATTTGTGGTGGAGAAGCAGCCCTGCATGCCTACACACCCTCAGAAACCTCTAATCATCAAAACACAGGTGCAGTTTAAGCACATTTATAACTGGAATATAATTTAATTTCATTCATATGTGTTTCATAAACACATAATCCTTTCTGGATTACAATCCGCCATCAAAATGATACATTTAATTATTCTGGCTGCTGTGAAAAAAGGCTATAAACGATCCTTCACCTGCAGGATCCTCACTTCTTTATGTTTACAGACGTGACGTAATGACGCAGTGCCATGCTCGAATTTCACTCGAAAACCTACCCGTACCACTTAAATTAGAAAACATTATTATAAACTAACCGTTGTGAATCGGGCTAAAGTAAGGCGATAGTTTTGAACACTGGCTGGTTATGTACTTGTTGAAATATTGATTTCGGATCATTTTTAACCAAAAAAAGTTACGGCTGTAGCTTTAAAGAAGTATGATCTGATTGTTAAAACATATTAATTATAACTTGTTTACTTACAAAATGGCAAATTTAAGAGTGTGGGTCATAACACTTGTATTAATATATATTTTTTTAATTATGTCTAGATATTATACAGATTATTATTATTATTATTAGACAGAGATAAACAAACTAATGCCACAATACACCACATAATATTCATCATAATATTCACTGATGTTGTGCTGTTGTTTTCCTACCACACATGATGTCACTTCCTGGAAGATAATGAACTTGCTTCAAGTTCAATGAACATGCTTTTGTTCAAGTAAAATCTCAAATGCATTTTGTTCTCTTCTTGTTGTTCTTGATATATCTTCTTGTTGTCTAATTTTCGTTAAATAATATTGAGTCCAAGTTTTGACTCAGTTGTTAATGAAGCTATGTTGAATCTATGTTGAGACCAATTAAGTGATATTACAGGAAAAATCTACAAATAGATTAGTACCAAAACAATATTCCTTACGACAATATGCTTTGTTTACCTTATTTTGATTATTATAAATAAATAAACAACTGGAATATTTCTTAGACATTAATGGAATATGCACTCAATATTAATTAACAATAGTAAAATTATTGAAAATGATCTATCTATATCTAAAACAATAATAATCTCTAATTACATTTGTCAATATGTTTTATGGCATTTATGATGGGGACATGAAAACACTGCACACTAGGAATGACCCAACTACTATTATGGCTATAATAATTAATATCATTCTCACATTTACATACAACTTTTGTTTTCACTGTTCACAAGCCATGCGAGCAATGTTTGTATCACAGGTGCATTTAGCCCAAAATGACCGTGTTTTCTACTCTTTTCTATTTTTGTGTGTGCAGAGACCTTCCACCAGGCAAAGTGTGAGTGCACTCAACCTCAAACAGAAGAACCAACTTCCTGTTGTTTACTTAGGCCAAATCTCAATATGAGTTTTTCAGCTAAGTGTGTGGGGGAGGGGGACAGCAGTGTTTTACATGCTAAATTCTGTTCATATTCTACATAGCTTACTGTAATTTACAGTACAGTGGAAGTTGTGACTAAACTGAAAATATCAAAACTAACATTACTGATATTTCCTTGTAGGAACAGACAGTTCTTCATCCTCACCAACAACACCAAAGTGATGGATGTTGAGGAGTCGACTGGATGTCTTTCTGTAGAGTTCAGGCATCTGGTACTTCACTCTGAATTCTAGCATTATTCAAGAGCAATACTGTTACTAAGGCTTTGGTGTTAAATATATTTAAACGAATTCACCCACTGTATGAAAATTAATTAGTCATTATTTACTCACCCTCATGTTGCTCCAAACCTACATTCTGTTATTTTTCCATGGAACATAAAAGGAAAAAAATTAAAGCTTTTTTCCATACAAGGACATTTGGTAGTGACCATGGCTCCAAAAAGTGAATAACTTGCTCTTTTTAATATTTTAATGTTGTGTGTGTGTGCGTGTGTGTGTGATAACTATGAACTGTTGTTAGAATGAGTAAAAAAACATTTCATTCTTGGGTGAACTATCCCTTTAAGAGGAAATATATTTTATGAAATCGTTGTGTTTTGCAGCAGCTGAAAGAGAGAAAGTGTCCTACTGGAGGAAAAGGAAATGAGGTAAGACTGCATTATTACTAATATCTGCTGCTTACTTTACAGGTGTATCTCTTCTAGTGGCCCATGGCTTGAGCCTGGTTACATGATAATATTTTTGCCATGTACTGTATGTTGCCATGTCGGTATGGAATACATCATCTTGCCAACAGAGGGCAGCCTCACACAGTATATGCTTGAATCGTACTGTGTCTCTCTATTGCAGGGTCCCCTGTCAGTAACAGAGGAGTTACACTCTCTCAATTTTGAGGCCATGCTGATGTTACAGGGCCTGGATATAGATCTTGAGGTAAGTTTTAGTGTGTAATATTAATGTTATATATATATATATATATATATATATATATATATATACATGCATATCAAATACTGCAGACTAATTGCCATATGTGACCATATATAAATCAAAAGCATATTTAAAGCTTCATTGAAAATGTATATATATTTTTGTCGATAATGTGTGTGTGTGTGTGTGTGTTTATAAACATTACAAATGATTTTCAATGCAGCTTTAAATAAGCTTTATATATGCTCACCAAGACGGCATTTATTTGATGATGAAATACCGTAAAAACAGTAAGATTATAAAATATTATTAGAATGTAAATTAATTTAAAATAATTGTTTTCTATTTTAACATATCTTAAAATGTAATTTATTACTGTGATGGTTAAGCAGAATCTTCAGCAGCCATTACTCCAGTCTTCAGTGTCACATGACCATCATTCTCATTAAAATCATTGTAATATGCTGATTTGGTGCTGTTTTTTTTTTTACTATAATTACTGAAAACTCTAACATTTTTGTAGAAACTGCTATACATTTTTCCCCTCAGGATTCTTTGAATAGAAAACTGAAAAGAACAGATTTATTTGAAATATAATTTCTATAAAACATAAATCCTGCTTGATCAATTTGTTGCATCCTTGCTGAATAAAAGTTTAAAATTTATTTACATTTTTTTTACTGACCCCAGTGTTCAGTGGAGATCAAAATTAGAGAACAATCTATAAATACTTAATTTTTTTCTGAAATACTCATCGCTCAAAATGTGAAGGAATATTAGCTGTTGGTACACCACTTTTCTGCTAACATGTTTGACAAAATAACCAAGGCATTTCAACAAAAACCTTTATTTTGTGGAAAACACTGATCAAAATTAGAGAACAGTAACCACTGTAGCATGAAAGAAGATTGCAACTATAATTTTGGAAGGTTACAGCTGTTAGAAACAAGTAGGGAGTGTAGAGGCTCCTGCTTTGATTGACTTCAGCACATCTGCAGCCGCAGGACATCACTAGTTTCTCACACTGCGCTGGTGTGATCCTGGTCCACTCTTCTTCCACTCGCTTCCATAGTAGAACTTTGGACCAGTTCTCCTCTCTCCACACACAACATGATCCTCCGCAAAGGTGAGCCTAGCCTCTTGATTCTTTCTGCTGATGAGAGGCTTGGTCACTGCAGAGTGTGCTTTGTCCGACTTCTCTTAAAGGGGTCATATAATGCTACATGCACTTTTACAAGTTGTTTGAACTGAAATGTGTGTTGGCAGTGTGTGTACACAACCACCCTAAAATGATAAAAATCCACCCAGTGGTTTTGTTATTCTCAAATCGAGCCGATCTCAGATGACACACAGACAGGCCCCTCCCACGATAGTTTGATTGACAGTAGCGTTTCAGCACAGACTGGACTGGTGTCTTACCTCAGACCCGCTCTGAGTGAGCTGTCATCAGGCCGCCATTGTTTCACCGCTGGAGCAGATGTAGACAAGAATGACTCCGAAGCGATTGAGGTCTTCTGTTGTTGGATGTAATAATGAACATAGCAGTCGTCGTTTACTCCCGACATCTGAGCCGCTGAAGACGCAGTGGATTATGTTTGTTTTTGAAGGGAATGCGCCCCTTATCTGCCTAAATGCATCTATGTTCGTGCGAATCATTCATGATCCAGCCTCATCTACAGAAGAAGTGTGTAAGGTTTTTTTAACAAATCTTTGCAAATCGCCTTTCCTAATAATGTGCTAATTAGCAAGTGAATGCACGATGAATGCAGCTAAAGTAAACGGTCTCTCTGAGTATAGTCCATATCTTTTCAGCACTGAACTGACGAGCAATTCCAGCTGCAGTGTTGAACCGATTCCCCATTGAGAGTCTCTGCATTATCCTGTCCTCTCGGGCATATGTCTTGCGTGGACGACCAGCCTTTTTTGGGGACTTGAATGAATTAGTGTCATTGTAAACCTGCAATATTTGAGAAATCAGATTTAAAACAACCAACTTCTCTCGCAGTGGCCTGTCGCAGGCTTTCCGTCACCTGAGAGCACCCCGCCATCTTGCAATCTCAGTGAAAATTAGACTAATTCTGCCAGTTAAGTAGAGTTTGTCATATAATTAAGGAAATTAGCACCAGGTGCCAGATTAACACCAGTAACTTGGAGGTATCTGTAAGTGTTCTCTAATTTGGAAAAAAACTGCCCTTTTACTCCTGTTAGGATACATTCAAATAGGACTAAGCAGTGACCTTGAAATTTAGGAAATTGTAGGTTGTTCTTTAATTTTGATCTCCACTGTATATAAATAAATAACATGTTACATATTATTCTATTTAAATGTTAAGAGAATAATAATAATAAATATAATTGTTTTTTATTATTTAGTTAGACCTACAGTTAAAATTAAATTTAGAACAGCTCTGTATGGGAGATTACTGTGCTAATATAAAATGCTTTTATGATTTTTGTTTTGTTGTTGTTTCTCATGATACCGCTCACTGAGTTTTTGTATTTTTGTTCATGTGCAGAGTTGCTCCCTGCCACTGGTGGTCATCTCAAATGTCAGTCAGCTCCCAGGGGGCTGGGCCTCCGTCATGTGGTACAACCTTTTAACTGATGACCCCAAGGTGAGCTTCTGATGCAGATGCAAAGAATGGATGTCTAGCTTATAGTATCTATAGTTTGCAGCACTTGGTAGAAACATGCTTAAGGTCTGCATTTGATCTACTCATGTATTATATGACTAATATAACTAGAGGTGGCAACAGTGGCAAGGCTTGTCATACAGTATTATTTGAACTTCTCTGATATGTTTAGAACCTTGGATTCTTCAGTAACCCTTTGCGGGCAAGTTGGAGTCAACTCTCAGAGGTACTTAGCTGGCAGTTCTCAAGTTTTGCAGGCCGAGGACTCAACAAGGAGCAGCTTAACATGCTGGGAAATAAACTCCTGGGTATGTTTTCTATAAACTTGTTGGTTTATGTGACATTAAAGTATATTTATGGGATTGTCTGCTGCATTACACTGTGTTTGATTTTCTCTAATGTTGTTTCATAAACATGCAGTTAGCACAGTTTTTGTGAACATATTTTGGCCTCCAGCTAAACAGTGTTTTGTAATTGTTTCTGAAGGTCAACATGCTTCTTATAATGACTGCCAGGTTTCTTGGTCCAAGTTCTGGAAGGTAAAATTGAATAAATATGATATGCTCTTGCTATTCTCGAACTGTAACAATTTAAATAAATATGTAAATAAATACGTTTTTTTTCTGTTGCTGTCAGGAAAACATTCCTGGCAAGTCATTTAGTTTTTGGCTGTGGCTGGACTCGATCCTGGACCTTATTAAGAAACATTTACTTCCTGTTTGGATTGATGGGTCAGTGGCCTTGTCATGGCATTCAGATGCATGATAAACAGATATAACACATATTAGCTCTGTTATTTTGATATGCATATAATAAATAACAAATACAACTACTGCATAACAGTCTATTTTTATTAGATATTTTATCACTGTTTTTTCAGTATATTTATCAGTATATCAGTATATTTAATTGAGATTTCTTTTGATCTGCCATGCTGAATGAAGTTTTTGCTCGTTTTCTTCTGCTTCTCAATGGATTCTGCTATTTTTTTGGTTCTCAGTTACATAATGGGATTTGTGAGTAAAGAGATGGAACGTGCCTTACTGAAGGAAAAAGAGCCAGGGACATTCCTGCTACGCTTTAGTGAAAGTCACCTTGGAGGAATCACCTTCACCTGGGTTGAGCAGGATGAAAATGGTTTGTCTTGCATGTTATTAGGTTTTAAAGGAATAGTTCACCAAAAATAAAAATTTGCTTTAAATGTACTCACCCTCAGGCTGTCAAATACGGCATGTAGATGTGTTTAATTTCCATCAGAACAGATTTGGAGAAATTTAGCATTACATCACTTACTCACCAATAGATCCTCTGCAGCAAATGGGTGCCGTCAGATTGAGAGTCCAAACAGCTGATAAAAACATCACAGTAATCCACACAGCTCCAGTCCAGTGAATGAATGTCTTGTGAAGGGAAAATCTGCATGTTTTGACCTCTGGTGTTGTTTTTTGAGGGTCACACTTGTGTTGTGCACAGTCAAAATTGACAGAACATCCGAAATCAATGTAATATGTTTTTGTTCAATAATATTTTATCTTTTTTATTTCGTATTTTGGGAGAATTTCATTATATCAATTAATATTTGTGCAATAATTATGATTTTAAAAAATTCTAATATTTTAATATATTTTTTCAATTATGGAAGTATTTCGTGATCAAATGGAGACAATGCCTTAATCCAATTTTTGAAGGCAGATTAGTGCCATCTGGTGGGAGTAAAAAAAGAACATCTGAAATTCTATGGTTTAGCCACTAGATTCTTATATAGCTCTATGTAAAAAGGCTTATAAATTCTGTAGTTGTTTTTAGACATAAATACTTCTTTTAATTTTATTCATAAATTCATAGAGACGTCAAACCGTTGCTTTTGGTCAAAATACAAGTCCATAATCCATAATAGCACATCCTCCAGTAAAAAAGTCTGTCTGCTGTCAATCTGTAAAGTCCCTGTTGTTTTCCACTGACATATTTGTTTAGAACTCTTTTTGACTGTTTTCGCTTGTTAAAGGTGCTTGATCTGTTCATAATTCTCCCCTGATTCAGACAAGATTACTTTTTCACTGGAGAAAGCATTATTATGGATAGAGGAGTCGTATTTTAGTTGGAAGCAGCAGTTTGAAGTTAAAAACATCTCAATGATGGATTTGTTTCATGCAACAAACATGCAGCTTTTCACGTCATAAAACATTAATTAATGGAGTGGAGATGTGTGGATAACCTGTGGATTATTGTGATGTTTTTATCAGCTTTATGGACTCTCATTCTGACGGCACCCATTCACTGCAGAAATTAACGCTAAATTTCTTCAAATCTGCTCCAATGAAGAAACAAACTCATCTACGTCTTGGATGGCCTGAGGGTGAGAATTTTCTGGGTGAACTATTCCTTTAAGAATATCATTCCCAGTACAATCTGTAATGTAGGAAACATTATGTTACAGGTGTCCAATTGTAAAACAAAGATAACAACATAAGAATCCTAATAAGTTCTTCTATGCAGTGAATGGTTAAAATATTCTGAAAGCACACACAGGTTAAAGGTTTTAAAGTTAAGGAACTCTTGCCAGGTTAAGCAATTACTGTAATTTCCACCCTGAGACAATGTCTTGTATTTGCTGAGGGAAATTCCAGCCTGGAGATGTTCCAAAATTTAGCAGATGCCGTTTATCCTCTTATGGATAGCATTTTTTGTTTCCTTATTTTCAGTGTGCATTTGAGAGTTTAATTGTTCAGATTGAATAATGCCTGAGGAAAAAATATGTTCTCATGCCTGGCTGTTTTGGTGCTCAGTGCATTTTTTTTTCATTTGTCTTTATTGTATTAAATATGTTGTTGAATAACCTTAAGCACATGTATTCTGCCTACAGGAGACCCAAAGTTCATCTCTGTAGAGCCGTACACGAAAAACCGTCTCAACGCCTTGCCCATTGCTGATATAATACGGGACTATAAGGTCATTGCAGATGGTGTTGTCCCAGAGAATCCTCTGAAGTTCCTTTATCCTGACATCCCTAAGGATGAGGCTTTTGGGAAACATTATAACAGCCAGCAGAACAAAGGTCTGTACATTTATCTGATTTTTAATATTTTAGCTGTGCCCCATATTTTGTTTCCAGACCTGTTACTTTTTGTCCATTACAAACAAATGTAAAATTGACACCCAAGAAATGGCAGGAATGCATGTACATCGTCACTTCCCATTATATCAGTTTTTACATATATTGTATTGTTCACTCTATTCATCATGCTCAACCATCATGTTGCCAAACTAATTCTAAAAAAAATTAATGTATCTATATTAACAATACAAATGTTCTTAAGGGTAAGCATCTCTTTTCATTGAAGATTTGTTGGGGGAAATGGTATTTATTTATTTTTTGAGTTTCAGGTCATACTTTTTTATTTTATTTTTTTTTTTTGGGAAAGTGCAGGATTATAAATATCATATGCTAAAGTGCTCTGTTTTTTTTTTTTTTGTCTTTCACAGTTTGTCCTTACATTCAGACACAGTTAGTTCCAATTTCCCGTCGGAAGTGAGTATCTTAATTTCTTTCACAACAAGATTTAATTTTGTAATTTGTTGATCTTTATGCACCAAGAGCTTGTAAAACTCCAAAGAGAAAGGAAAAATTGAAATCGCATCATATGACCCCTTTAACATATTTTAAAGATGCTGTCATGTGATGATCGTCCATCATGATTTGAGAATAATCCAAAGAGCATATTATGCTTCATTAAAAGCAAGAACGTCTGACTTGAGTTATCATGGTCAATGTCACACTTAGTTAGTGACTTACAACCATGTGCATTATTCATTATCATAACCCTAACATTTTGTATATTTAAATTCAACATGGTCTCAGACTTTTAAACCCAGCTGTATATATTACTGACTTTGTTGCTCAGAATCATATTTGTGGGTAATTTGGTGCTGTCAGTAATAAGTAGAGCTTATTTAAGCATTATACTGTGACCAGAAAATGACATGACACTTTTTTCTTGTTTACATTTCAGATGAGTTCACCCTAGAAAGGGCAACAGCCACATTTTGTTTGGATCCAAGATTATAGATGGGATCTCTTTATTTTAGCTTCTTTTGTTGTTCTTTACTTTTCTGGCTGCATCATGTCTCTATTTTCATTTGCTGACAGAGAGTGTATATTCAAAAATACTGTCAGTATGAAGATGTATCAGATGTATTATTAATGTCATAATTCTAAACTTCAGCAATTTATTTCTTATTTACAATATATGACTGGTCTCATCTCATCACCTGTAAAATTAGAATTTGCCCAAACCTTAATCTGCCTTAATTTTATAACCATTTTACTCTTTATGTATATATTATGACAAGCATAGTATTCTTTTTTAAATAAAGAATTTCATGGTTTATCTATGGTATTATTATTATTGTTATTATTATTATTAGTAGTAGTAGTAGTAGTGGTTTTTTTTGTTTTATTTAGCTTAAGGGATTTGTTGCAACCACTGATCTATATATAGAAATATTATAGATCAATGGTTGCAACCTGTCCTAGTTCCTTAATGACATCAGCCAGGAAGCTACATAATTTTGGTAGGTAAACAACAGCATAAACATTAGCAAGTATATGCAAAGGATTTTGTGACATAGATGTGTGCATGGTTTGTTGGTTTGTTTCACTCTAAATCTAAATCTGGTATACCCTTTATAGAAGCATTTCTTACAACAAGCATTCATTTATTCAAGGTTTTTCAACATATACACAGTAACAACAAGAATGACACATTATATCTCATAATGAGATCATTTTTAATAAAAGTAAAACAAGCATCGCATTATGTTTCTATCATAAGCCAAGGGATCTCCTTAAAACATCCAGTGGCGTGTAGTAAAATAGTAGGGAATTGACGTAAATCCAAGTTTCGTTTCTCAGTTTCATTCCTGTGCTGAGTTTTAGGTCTCGCTTTCTCAGAAATCGCGTGCTTGCCTGCTGGCTGTGCCCTGAGTTTCACAACCCCTCCC